GTTTGGGGCGCTGCCCCCTGTCACACACAGAGCCGCAGGGCAATCAGGGGGTTGGGGAGCTCCCCCCTATCAGGCACAGAGCAGGGCCGATCAGGGGGTTGGGGCGCCTTCCCCTGTCATGAACAGAGCAGGGCGGATAGGGAGGTTGTGGCCCCGCCCCCTGTCACACACAGAGCCGCAGGGCGATCAGGGGGTTTGGGCGCTGCCCCCTGTCACGCTGATCCCGGTGCCGGGAGGCCTCGCAGCTCCGCTGATCCCGGTGCTGGGAGGCATATTACCCTTTTACTATATAGAATAGAGGCCTGGTGCATGGGTGGGGGCTGGCTGGTTTGCCCTGAAGGGTGTCCTGCATCAGGGTGGGGGCCCCCACTGGGGTGCCTGGCCAACCTGGATGAGGGGATGATGGCTGTTTGCAGCTGTTCACACACCCTTCAGGGTGGGGGTCCCCACTGGGGTGCGTGGCCAGTCTGGGTGAGGGGCTGAGGGCTGTTTTCAGGCCGACTGAAGCTCCCAACTGCTCCTTTTTTTCTTTTTCTTTTTTATTCTGGGCCAGCTTTAGCTCTGAGGCTTGGCTCCACCTCTCAGGCCTCAGCTGCTGAAAGAAGGTATCTGGTTTGTTTAGGTTCTGTAATCGAAACTCTATATCAACTCCAGCTCTGAGATCCCAGCCCACTGAAAGCTGGTTTCTGGGGTTTTGTTTAGCTTCTGTTTTTGTAACTATGTTTCAAACTGCAGGCTCAGAGGCCGGCAAGGCAGGCGGGGAATGTTGCAGTCCTCCGTCACTGAAGCAAGCAAGCCTCATGTTAGTTTCAAGCTGCCTGGCTGCCGGCCGCCATCTTGGCTGGCAGTTAATTTGCATATCGCCCTGATTAGCCAATGGGAAGGGTAGCGGTCGCACGCTAATTACCATGTTTCTCTTTTATTAGATAGGATATACAGTTTTGTTAATAAAAGTAATGTCTTTAACTTCTTACATGATGGGATGAAGCAGACACATAGCCAAGATCTGTGGGCTTTTGCTGCCCCACCAGTCAGCTGTGACCAAGGGCTTGAGATCTTGGACCCTGTGTTGCCCGTGTGCCTGCTCCAGGATCTTTAGCCTGTCACACTTGGCCCAGACTTGAGAATGTGCAGATGACTTTCTACTACAAGAAGTCTTGTCACAGTGTGCTGTACCCTTAGAGGGAAATTCTAAGGGTACATTTTCTAGCCTAGCATTAAACCTCAGATTTCCTGTGCTTTGAATGTCCCCCGCCATTGCCCCACTTTCACTACCCACTACTAAAGCCCACTTGGGCCTCTGGCTCTACTTTCTTTGAACTGAGAAAGTTCCAATTTCTCTGAACCCCCACTCCACAGGCAGAATGGGGTTCTCTTTAAGCTCCTGACTGCTGGAGCAGCAAGGCCCTTCCTATTTGGTCCTTGGTAAATCCTCAGGTTCAGGGTGAGCTTCCCAAGCTGGCACTTACTCACTTACACTCTATTGACTTCTCTGACTCAATCTGTCTTTTCTTGTTACTCTTGTCTCTGTTCAGGATACCTGGATCCAACTTATCTTGTGCCGTTGTTAGGGTTCACCTTGACCTTTCTCCTGATTTTGACACTCAATCACAAATTAAAAATATTATATATGAATATTAGATGCACCAGGTTCACTCCACGTATGCAGGGTAGGCAGGGACATGCTTTCAGATTTAGCCCAACAAAGTAGTGAAGCCAAGAAGCCTCCCAGGTTTGCTCTGGGAATTGAATGAGATGGAGTGGAGGAAGAGGGAAAGTCTCAGAGTCCCTGGCACAAGGTACCCGTCACAATAGGAGCCAGTGTTTGGTTGTGGGACAGGCCTGGAGAGAATAGAGGAGGCAGGACTGCTGAGGGGAGGACAGAAGTAGCTGCAGGGGCACTGCTGCGGCGCCTGAGTCTGACGCTGCGGATTCGGAGGCCTCAGGAGGACCGGGGAGAGAAGTCCTCGTTTCATCCGCAGGGCAGTGGGCTGCTCTACTTAAATTCTTCCCAATGCCGTGTTCTCAGTTATAAATTCAGAGCAACTGAAATTGTTCCTCCCCAGCAGATTGCACTAGTGTTCCTGTGAGATGAATCCACTTGTATTCAGTCGTGATGCGGAAAGTACGGTCAGTAATTCTTATACCGTGGGATCGAACTGTAGAAAGGCAAAAGAGAATTTAAGACTATGTACTGTTTGGATTAAGTGTAAATCCACTGCGAGCAATTGCAAAAGCCAAAGTTGGGGGGGTGTCTCTAAATACTTCTTGCAAAATCCTTATATAATTAGCTTCTTTCTTCAGCCCTCCCCACCTCTTCTAAAGGAGGTGGTTTCATTTCCTTCTAAATCTGGTCAGATGTTGCCATTCTGAATCACCATCTCTAGTTTGGCAGAGAACCAGGGACAGTCCACTCTGGTCACTTGGTCCAGTATGCTGCTGTGAATGAATGCATGAGTGAGTGAATGAATATATGTGAGTGGATGACGATCTGAACCACCTCAGAGTTGGCAGAACTGGGTTTTAAATGGCCTCAGGGTTCACCAGCCTGCCTTAATGGCCCCTCTCTGATGACAACAGTCAGAAACACCTTCCCCTGAGACTAACCGTTTACCTTTATAAGTTATATCCATTTTTCTCCTAAATTTCCCGGAGGACCTGAGCATCCAGCTAGTTGGGAGGAGATGGGAGTATCCTAGCGGAGGATGTTTTTCTTGGGCCTGCTGAAAAGGCTGCCTAATGAGCTTTAACTCAGGGCAAAGAGCAGCCTCTTCCTAATAAAGGGCCTTTTCTTGGTCGAGGGCCTGTGTTCTCCTTTTGGCCACCTGTCACAGTCTCAGTTCTCTCTCGCCCTCCTGGAGGTGACTGGACTGCGCAGGTCAGGCCTCCTCTGTGGCCCCCCATTCCTTCTGAGCTATTAATCAAACGTGCTGAGTCTTGCACATGGTGGGGAGCGGGGATTTCATGAAAGGCCTCGTGGAAACCGTGCCCCTTCATGGTCTGCTGCAGTTACTGAGGCGCCCCGTTGAGTCTGTGTGTCTAACGTTTGGCTCTGTCAACATGGCTTGCCTGCGATAGTCACGTTGAGCCATAATCCTACAGTTTAAGGTATGTGCTCGTCACCTCCCTGCCTCCAGGCACACAGGAAGACCATCTCACCTGATGGGGACCCATCAGTGGTTCTGGGATAGTTTTGGAGAAAGGAACGGGGGTGGGGGTGGGGAGCGTTCAGTGTGGTGCTCAGAAAGCATGCCCAGGCTACTGGTTTTTAGCTCAATGGGTTTAAGTGACAACTATGACCGTGCTTTCAGAGGTTTCCCATTTCTGGTCCTAACATGAGCGAGCACACATCTCAGCAGAAAGGCTAGCCATTGAAGATGCTCTTCCCTAAGAAAAACCTCTCTGATTCTAAACACGGTGTGAGCATCACCCCACAAGGCTGTTCAAACCACTTTTAATTGGGAGCTTTGTAATCGCTATGATTATACTGTTGGAGCAAGAGAGGTACTTAACAGATAAGCTCCCCGGGTGTCTTCTGTGTCAGCGAGGAGGAGATCTTCTTAAAAGGAATCTGTGCGCTCTCTCTCTCTCTCTCTCTCTCTCTCTCTCTCTCTCTGTTTTTCCTATTCAGTTTTTGTTCTATATTTCTCGCAGGGTTTTTCTCTATGCGCTTTGATCTTATCTGCTTTTATAACCCCTTTCCATGCCCTGATTTTTCCTCTTATTTATAATTTATATCCTGCTTATTTATACAAAATATGTGAGGTTGCTTACATTATTATAGCTTATAAATCAGGAGAGAGGAGAGAAAAAGGTTAGCGAAGAAGAGAGCATTGTCGCAGGAATCCAAGATGCTTACCACAGTTGAGCACTAAATCTGGCTACAGCGTTCTAGAGGCAAAAACAGAAAGCAGTGTTTGTTTGGCTGTGGAGTTCTTCTTAAGTCTTTCCCTTCTTCTACACGATTTCCGTTTTCTTCTGCTCTTGCTTATCCTAAGAGCCGTTGGGTTTTCTTAGTGTCTCATATTTCCTGTGCCAGGGAGTTCCCACAGGGATGAGGCTCCCATCCCTCTCCCTCTCCCCTCCCGACCCTCCCAACATCCACCATGAGTTCTGCCCAAAACTCAGAGGCAAGATCACAGACAGTCCGGGGCTTCCAGCCGGGGTGAGGAAGCCGCCCTTCAGTTTGTTCTTGAAAGCTGAGCTCATGGGCGTTGGCGCTGGCCTCTGGGTCGGGACCAGCCCAGACTTTCATCCTGGGCTGAAAGAGACCTGACGAGCATCTGGTGGCGGGTGGAGTGAAATCGCTGGTGCTCCACTGCGTAACCATCACCCCAGGCAGGGGAAGCATCCCTCTCAGGACTGGGAACCCCTGTCTTGGCGAGAGAGCCTGAGGTCGGGGCTGTGTCTGACCTGCTTTGGGATCCCAGGTGCTGGCAGGTGAGAAGTGTGAGTTCCCCCAGGAATGAGAAAGTGCGTCCTGTTTCTCTGAATATCTATAGTTTCAATAGACGGTGGTTTTTGGGAGAGGATGTTTTAGGGCTGCACACTTAAATCTAGGGCAGTAAGTAGGAGGCTGTGCTGTCCAATCCACGCGTGACTGAGCACCTGCAATGTGGTCAAGTGCAAGCTGAGGTGTGCTGGAGGGGTCAGGTATACAGAGGATTGCAAACACCAGGAGAAGGACTGTGAAACATCTCAGTAATAATACCATCATGTACAACATCGCCACGGAATGCTGCTTACATATTGAAAGGATAATATATTGAATTATTGGGTTAAAGGAAATCTTACATTAAAATTAATTTTACCTGTTTCTCTTTACTTTTTAATGTGGCCACTCAAAAACTAAAATTAAGTGGCTCGCATGGTATTTCTATTAGACATTTCTGGTCGAAATGTCTAGAACTATAAACAATTTTATTTTATTTTTTGCTGAGGAGTGAATTTCCATTGTGTCTTCTAACACCTGTGTTCTCTCTTTTGTTCTCTTTCAACAGATCTGACTCTCCACGTAGCATGTCAAGGACGAAATTAATCACCAATTCCTTCCCCCGCCCCTCCACCCCAACCCCTCTCCTACACACTTTTCTTTCCCACTTGCTTACCCAGCCATCTGCAGTACACCCGTTTCAGGTATTTGAGCTGTGTAGAAGTTCTGTGTGCAGACGTGTGCTTGGACCGCTCTCTTCCTGAGAAATCTGAAGGGGTGATCACAGAAGATCCACTCACTCCTGGGAACCACCGCTGCAGACTTGGCCTTGGGCCTCGGGCCTCGGGTAGTCTCGGGCGGCCCCTGCACTGTCCAGCAAACGCCCTAACTTGCCATTCAGGTGGTGCAGGGGGACAACCAAGTGCCGTGGAGGCAGGTGATCACACTCTGCTGAAACTGTCTGGTTTCCTGTAAAATAGACACTTTATATTTTTAGGGAGCAAACAAAGTGCTGCCATAGGGTTCAAAATTTTCATTCTGAACACTTTTCCAAAACAAATTACTCCTAGGAAGCATTTTGACTACCCTAGTCACATCTTTGGATCTGTAAAGTACACCTTTTAGTATGACATCCGTTAAAATGCAAAGCAAATTTCTTCAAGGCAGAAAAACAATCTGACAGCAGCAATGTAGAATTTGTTCATTCAAACACATCTCTGTGAACGTGAAAAGTCATAAAATTCACCTCTGAGTTGGTTGCTATTGAACCGGCAGCGACGAGTCTCAGCCAGCCCGGTGTGAGCACCACTCCTTCAGAAGTGCTGGAGGTGCCGCCGAGTTGGATGAGTGGAAGTGGGGTTGCCCCCTTCGCCCTGACCCGCCTGGAGTGGCATCTGGGTGGCCTCTTTCTCTAGGGAACCATCTGAAGCCTCGAGGGGGTATTGCTGCCGAAACCCAGGATCATTCTGCAGTTGAAAGAGGAAGCCCCCGGGAGAGTGTAATGGACAAATTTTTGTGCCTATGAATAAGTTGCCACAAATAAGTTATTTTAACTCATCATTCTGACTGTTTGGGTCCTCTTTTTGGCATCAAACATAGGTTTTATCTTCTTAGGCAGAATTAGAAGAAATCAATATGGATGGATTTTAAGAAATATATACCTGTTGCTATATTCAGATACATGAATCTAAACTGAATCAACTCTCCCTGGTGTGCATATGAACATGATGGATTTCCAAGTAGTCAAGTTTTCAGGGAAAATGACAAGGATTCAATTAAGTTGTTCTTCTGTGCTGCTACTGTTTTGACACATTTGAGGATAAGTCCATGACAACCAACCAAACTCGGTGAAGGCACCCGTCCTCCTGCTACTGTGCCTGCCCAACAGGAGCGAGCTGGCACTGCCCCGCTGCTATCACCCCGGAATGAAATGTGTTGGGGAGACGTTGGGCTTTCTAGTGGCTGTGTGGACAGAAGATTGTTCAAGGCGCGTGTGCGTGTGTGTGTGTGTGTGTGTGTGTGTGTGTGTATGTGTATGTGTGTGTATGAGAGAGAGAGAGAGAGAGAGAGAGAGAGAGAGAGAGAGAGAGAGAGAGAGAGAGAGAGGGGAGAAAGCACTAAGGACTGAATTCACCTCCAAAATCCTGTATAAAATTTCCTAACAAAGCAAAGCTGCTTTATTTATTTGTTAAATGTTACTTTTCGTTTGTGTGTGTTTTGTTTTGGGGGTGAGAGGAGTAAGGAGAGAAGAGGATGAATTCTACATGAAGTATTTATTTGAAAAAGATGACAATTTTGCATCTTTAAAATTCTTCTGTTTGATTTTCTTATGTTGTTGTCAGCACTCGTGCAGTATAAACTGCCCAATTGTTATTTGCAATCTGTTAGAAGGGTCCTTGTAGGACGGGTTTTGCAGCCCTTACCAGGTGATAACATATGCCATATTTATAACCTTGCCTTTGATCTTAGATGCTAAAACATTGGTCTTTGAGTAGATTACCAATGACTAATTGTCATACCACTACTGTCTGTTATGCAACTGTATTACTTTGTGTTTAGAAATTAAACCAAGGTCAATAATTTATTTTTGGCTCTCTTGTTATAGATTATTTTGGTTTTTTTCCAAAGTAATTTTTTCCTGGGTACCCCTTTTCTACTTCTAAAGAATTGCATGGCCCTTTCATGTTTCAAAGAAACAGTCACTTGTAGTTCCGTATTTCTTGATCTCCACAAGGGACTCACAGAATTCACTTCACTTTTATTCACAGAGAAAGTTGGCTTTGATGTCTCTTAAAGATACTTCCGCTAGTTGCTGATCAGCCAGTCAGTTCACCTAGCTTTGATCTTTATAGGACCTCGAAACTAAGTTTCCTCACTGTGACCAACCGGCAGATTATTGGAATGGATCATACAGTACGTTCAAGCAGATTCTTAAGTATTTCTTTAATAATAAGCTAATTTTGAGATCATATATTCTGTAGGCCACTTGTTTAGAAAGCCACATGTATACAACTTTAATTTTTTTAGACTATTGCTCCATTACACTTGGATTCTAAATGTAAAAAGCCACACTTCTGAAGGCCAATATATATGGTTATATATTGGTTGTATGCTGCTTTTTGCTAGTGTGTGTGTGTGTGTGTGTGTGTGTGTGTGTGTGTAAGTGGTGTGTTTGTGCGGTGTGTGTGTGTGTGTACATGTGCCATGTGCTTTTCTTTAAATAATTTTATATTTCATGCTACTTCTTGAATGTTTACTCTGATTCTTGAAGAGCATACTAGGTGGTTTATTCAGATGAACTCTACCTACAGGATAGGGGATTGTTAATTTAGAGGAGTGCTGTTGGGGATATCAGATGTATGGTTGGAGACTAAACTATATTAATGCCAAATGAGTTCTGGTCACTCACCAGAGACTTCTGTACAAGCGCATCATCTCTTTAAACACTACAGTTGGCTCTTGTTGAATGGCGAGGGGTAAGGAGAACATTAAGTGTAGATTAAGGGTTTTAAAGAAATACTATCATATGATTAAATTAGGCTTTATAGAAATATTGGGATAAATGGAGAAATAAGAATGTCTGTCTAGAACGTAGCATCTAATGTATTTGAAGCCCTAAGTTCACACAAGAAACTGATACTCCTGCCCAAGGCCAGACCAAGCCGTCACCAGGACTCAAGGAGGAGCTATGGGTTCTCCTTTCCTGCAGGAGCAACTGAAAGCAAATCAAAGCTCTCAACAGTCCCCTCTTTGCAGTGCATGTTTTTAGCAGCACAGAAGACACGTTGGGGAAGTTTTTCATTGGCGAGGCAGGGGGCGTGTTCACTTCATTCCCTTCCTTGGCTCACCCTGCATATCTTGAACAAGTTGAAGGAACCATCGTAGACTACAACAGCTTCATTTAACATTCAACTTAGACTTTTTAGAAATATTACGGGCAAGGGCCAGGGAGCACTGCTCTGTGGAGTCGGACTGTACATGGCAGGTTATGTATCCATTTTAACCAGTTTCCATTGGGTGTGGAGGTGAAGGGAAGAGGGCATCAGTAGAATTACTCATGTCTAGTTTGTAAAGTATGTAGTGTGTACTGCAGATGTATGATTGCTGGACTCTGTGTATCTGTACAGTAGCTTTCATTTTAAAAATTGTGGGAAAACTTGGTGGTTTGAAGGGGAGAATTCAGTTTATATCAAGTAACAATGCTGTAATATAGTACATGTAACAAAAAATCTGGAAGTAACCCTCCCTTGGCCCATGGAAAATGTTGGTTTCTTCTGGGTTCTAAAATGAAGACGTATGGATACTCTGGCAGACTGCATGTTGTATAATTTGAAAAATACTAAAAGTGGAAAATAAACTTGACTTAAGCTTTGGCTGGTCTGTTTGCCTTTATTTGAGTCCAATGCTAGTGTTTGTGTGAGCCATTTTCTGGCTTCAGAGGAATTCATTTCAGTGACCTGGAGCTCAAGTTCAGCGCACGACCAAAGTCAACCTTGGCCTTTTTGCCTTTTGCTTAGGCTGAATATCTGGTTTTAATTTTTTTTTTTTTCATTGAAAAACCAAGAAAACCTGACACTTGTCCCTTCGGCACTCAAGCAGTAGCGACTGATGTAAATAAACGTGTTAACTTTGAGTTAAAGCAGAATTGAGTTAAAGCTCAGGAGACACACCAGTGTCTTAGCCGAACCTCTTCTTGCCCGAGAAGGGCGCTTACTCTAATACTATGTTTTGGAGCATTGGCATTCTTCAGCTAATGCAGTGGAGCCCTGTATATGTTGAAAGATCACTGGCATCTTTGGAGAAGGGCTGGGTGTTTGTATTTCTGTTTAACCTACTGATTATTAGTATTAATGTGCAGTGCTGAGATCTCGAGGGGATGCTGGGAGCCTCTCGTTCTTGATTTGGTTAATGTTGCATGCCAGCCAGGCAGTATACTGCTTTAATCAATTTCAAGTGGGAAGGATGGGTGCCAAATGAACATTTTATAAGTGGGATTGAGGGCAATGCGCATAATGTGCTTTTATGATGTCTTACCCATCTTCCAAATGCTAAAGCACTGGAAGAGTCAGTTCCCAGATACCAAGTTGTTAAAGGTGACTTATGTAGTAAAACTACAAATGGGATGGGTGAGTTTTTAGGCCCAAGCCTGCTTATTTAAAACGGGAAGGCAGTCCCCTGCCAGAACCCAATTACAAGGCAGAGTTCAATGTCATGGGAAATGCCCACAGGCCCCAGAGCTGCAGGCTTGCGCTGTTCCCAGGGCTCTGTCAGCTGCACGCTGCACGGGGTTGGGGCTGCGCCTCGGAAGTCCAGGGCTGGGGCCTCTGGGAGAAGGTGGAACTGAAGCTGTAATCTGCTAAGGCAATTACTGGTGACATGTGCCTTGGCAGGTTTAATTCTAGCACTTGTGACAGGTTTCATCTTGTGTCTTATGTACATAATAAAATAACAGGAGGAGGAGGAATCTCTTGGGTGACACATCAGATGAAAATGTGGGCTCATTTGGCAAAAGGCACCCTGAGCCACGGGATTTTTACTTTCCCTTTGGCACAGAAAACACCATTTTCTGTGCAGTTCGTCGGGCTCAAAATCACAGGAGACGTGCAGGTCTCCTCCCTGCTCAGCACCTTCCAAACCCTTCCCTTCTCCATGCTCAGACTGCAAGTGATTCCTACAGCCGTGCGTTACGCCTTCAGAACGTACACATGAAATTAGAGCCATTGGCAAACTTGTTTTGAACGACATGTAGCAGCACCAGAACCTCCTCATGCTCAGAAAGCGGCAACCAACAATTCATGCAAGCCTGTTCTGGCTGGGGGCCAGACACTGTTTTAAGTGCTTTACATGTATTAATCCAGCTAATCCTCCTAATAAACCCACGAGGTCGGCACCATTATCTCTGCTTTGCCCGGGAGGAAACAGGCACAGAGAAGTTAAGTAGCTTGCCCAAGGTCTCACAGCTAGGAGGAGGAGGGGGGAGGCAAGACTCAAAACCAGGTGGTCCGGTCCCAAGGTGTGCGCTCTCTGCAGGTAGTAACCACTTCAGAATGATGCGTGTGTGTGTGTGTGTGTGTGTGTGTGTGTGTGTGTGTGTGTGTAATGCCTCAAAAAACCCTTTTGTGAAGAATTGACAAAAAGTTTTATAGCTTCACAACTTTTCTGTTTCCTCCTTTGATTGGACTCTGAGACATCATTGTGTGAGTCCCTTTAAGCCATCAGCTGTATCTACTGTATCTAGGCAAGAATCATGGAACCGGCAATGAAAAAGGATGCCTCATAGTGGGGATTGGGGGGCTCCTAAAGCAAGGCTGAGTAGCCGCACAGTTGTCAGAAGCTTTTCCATAAAGTAACAGACACTTAGACATGAGGCAGGCACTTCAGACTGTGTAGTGAGAATTCAACTGATCATGATCCATGTCGACTTTTTTCTCTTTAGGACACTATCTCTGGTTGCTTGTTTGAGTATATAGCCTATATCCCCCTATTTCTTAAGCGAAAAATAAAGCAGGGTTCTCTTGCCCCATCTCAGCTTGCTCCACCGGGGGTCTGAGCGGCACTGGTTGGGTTCTCATCCCCAGGTCTGTGCGAGGCCATGGAGGAGGCTGTTCAGGGAGCCCTGCTGGTAATCACTGCCCCTCCTTCCCCCCGCTCCCCCCATCGTGAAGATGAATAGGGTCTCATTCTAGTGCTGTGGGTTTAGAACAAGTAAACATGCCAGTCATACCACACCTGCACATGCAAGTCCAGCTGCAGGAGGGATGGGAACAACACAGGTGGCTTCTCCTAGGAGCCCTGCTTCACCAGACTCCAGCAGTACCTCTCCTGTCCGAGGGTGCCGCTGATGCAGGCTTGGAGGGATAGGTTGATGGCAGAGTTTTCTAGGCCAAGGGATGCTAACCTTCAGCCAGTGCCAACAGGTTCCTCCCCACCCCCCAACCCAGATGACCCAGGTGTCCTTGCTGCCCTGCAAAGCCCCCTCCTGGGACACCCCTGCACACTGGCTATCAGGCCATGACACTGCTGAGTACGGATGCTCCTCGACCTCTTTACTAGGGATCACGTCCCAACGAACACATCCTAAGTTGGAAATACCATAAGTCAAAATATGCTTACACACCTAACCTGCTGAACAGGAACTTTGACGTGCCCAGAGCACAGGGCACTGCAGGTACCAGTGCTCATCCTCTGGGCTCTGTGCCTGCCCAGCATCAGGGGAAAGCAGGTGCCCCGCGTCGCCAGCCCAGGAAAAGATCACGGCACGGCGTTCGCACCATCCTACAGTCGAAAGATCGTACAGTTGAACCTCTGTAAGTCAGAAACAGTCTATGATTCTGTAGAAATGTCCAAACAGTCAATTGCTATGAAGCAAAATCTCAGCGTATGGAGAAAATGCCCCGGAACATGGCAGTTTTACCATTTATTTAACACACCGGAATGAAGGTGATGTAAGGGGGTTACTTGAAATCCATTGGTGATAGATTAGGGAGGCAGAGAAAGCAAAGTGAGGAAACCTCTGGGATTGGGTAAAAAGTAAAACGGAAGGACACATACCGCTTTTACACTGGTGGGTACAGGAGAGTTAACAATTAACATTCACAGCACAGAGAGATGGTATGTGGGAGAACAAGGTAACAGTGAGGGATTCTTGGGTCTCATGCTCTGGTGGGAGTTGTGCCCTGGGGGGTCTGGGAAAAGGGGATTACCCTGACATTCCAAGGAATGTTATTGTAGATGCAGCAGACAGGCTCAGTTACGATGAGGATTGACCTTCGTCAAGGAAAACACCAGCTTAGGCCATGACTGCCTGCCATGACTCATTTTTGGTTAGGCAGTTTTCCTCTCAGGCCAGCCTGTGTGGGTACTTGAGGCCTCTGCGTGTGTAAGGCCTGCCATGCAGGCCTCCCCTGAGCTTGTAAGGTGTACTGTGTGGCCCCTTTTACGTCCACAATTCCAAAGTGGGAAGAATGATGAAGCTGGAACCTGGGTTCGCCTGTAATTCCCGTTGAGCGGCTGTGGGAGGCTGGTGGAGGGCTAACTGCCCCGCATCCCAGGGCCTCTCTGCGCTGTGGAGAGCGTTGGCCCACTGCCTGCTGCTGCTGCTCACCTTTGTGATGAGGATCAGCTGGGAAACTGTGCAAAGTGCTACTCACGTGTCAGGGATCGAATCATCAGAAACGTCCCAGAGAAGATGTTTTCGCCTCAGACCCGGGCTGTGCCTTCCTGTCAGCAGCTTTGCTTCCAGTAGGAGGAGCAAGAACGTGCGGAGACAGGATCGCCTGCTTCTGCCCCTGAGGTCAAACCTTGTCGTAGCTCGCCATTTAGGGTTCTTCCTTTCCCACTCCTCCACCCCCCTTCCTCTTGGGGAAAAGCTGTCTTAGGCTATTTCAGGGGTTGACCGCAGAATCCCTCATTGTTACCTTGTTCTCCACATACATACCCTGCTCTCCCAGTAACCCCACTGAGGGGCTTTGGGGCCAGTGCCCATACTGTGTGCCCGGGGGCTGTTCATACCGGGGCTCCTGCAAGGCCCTGTGTGGGATCGTGGGATCCTGAGTCGGGTCCATTGGCTTCCCAGTAGCCACCGCTGTTGCAGAGCCCGCTCCCCACCGCATCCTTGCAGCCGCTTAACAAGTTCCCCACAGAGAGATTAGAGGAGCTCACGGAATCACTTAGCCAAGCTGCTACACAAAAGCACCCTTGGCTCGTGCCAGCGTCTGGAAACAAGCTGTCTGCTTCCTCTGCTGAAGAGCCTGTGTGAAGGCCCCTCCTGGTGCCGCAGCCTGGAGGCAGGTCTGTCCTCTGCACGGGGGCCGGCTGCTCCTAAACACGAGAGAACCGTGATCATGGCCTCTGCTTTGTACTCAGCTCTTTTCAGACCTTAGGCCAGGAGAAAACCAAAGTCCAAAGAGGTGAAGTACTGTGTCCAAGGTCCCGCCCGGGGCTGTTTTGCCTCTAGAGCTCAGGTTCCTTCCGTGACAGCCCTCGGCTTGCCCGTCTCAGTTTTTGCCATTCCCCGTTCCCCCCTAAGAGTTGTTGTAGATAAATAGTGCCCTTTAAGGTGGTTTTCGCTTCACTATATTGAGCCAATACATTGGGGCATTCTTGAAGACATAAAGTGTATGCCACCAATCCTCGGAGTAGCAGAGAAAAGTGCAGAAACACTGGGAATTGTCTGAATGTTAAGTGACCATCCTTATGTCACATGGAGAGACTGAGTCCAGACCTTGCTCAAGTCAGGGTTCCCTCCGCTGCACCACCCCTCCGCCTGCAAACAACCGTAACTGATAGCAGTGGGAGCCTCTCTGACACGCGGTCAAGCACTGCTTGTTATGAGTTGGGTGGACTTGTTTTGCCACAGCCATTTGTTGTGCGT